TTTCTCCTTCATCTTGTTTTATTTTCTTAGGGGAAAATGTATTATGCCTGAAAGCCCAATACCCAGGTATAGTTGCTAAAAAAGGAAAGAGAGATGAATGAGCAAATTTTTTTTTTTTTTGAGACAGAGCCTCAAGCTGCCCTGGAGAGAGTGCTATGGCATCACTGCTCATGGCAACCTCCAACTCCTGGGTTTTAAGCAATTCTCTTGCCTCAGCCTCCCAAGTAGCTGGGACCACAAGCACCTGCCATGCCTGGCTGGTTTTTGGTTGTAGTTGTCATTGTTGCTTGGCAGGCATGGGGCTGGATTCAAACCCGCCAGCTCTGGTATATGTGGCTGTCACCTTAGCCACCTGAGATATAGTCACTGAGCCAGGAATGAGCAATTTTATTTGTTATTTACTTGTTATACCTGGAGGACTTAATTTATTTTTTAATTAAAAAAAATTTTTTTTAGAGACCGCATCTCACTTTGTTGCTTAGACAGGTCTCAAACTCCTGGCCTCAAGTGATCCTCCCACCTTCCACCTCCCAAATTGCTAGGATTATAGGCATGAGCACCCAGACCTAGTGGTGATGGGTTTAAAAGGGTTACTTTGGCTGGGAGCATTGGTTCACACCTGTAATCTTAGTACTCTGGGAGGCCAAGGCAGGAAGATAACTTTGGTTCAGGAGTTTGAGACCAGCCTGAGCAAAAATGGACCCTGTATCCACTAAAAAGCATAAACATTAATTAAAAAATCAGCCAGATATTGCAGCAGGCACCTATAGTCCCAGCTACTTGGGAGGCTGAGGCAGGAGTTTGAGGTTGCTGTGAGCTGGGCTTATGCTGTGCCATTCAAAAACAAACAAACAAACAAACATAAATAGCTTATTTCAATGCCAGATTTGCTGTAATCTCCCTCTTTCACTCACATATCTTCACAAAACAGTCTTGCCCAGTGAGTTCAAGCAGTTCTATAGTTCATTTAATAGCACTTTTAAACAGGTCATTTGCTGAAATGAGTTGCTATTAAAATATTTTAATTGATATTAATTAATTAAAGTTAATTATAATGTGCCCTGAACTTGATTCATATATTTTCATTTTCAATGCCAATTCCACTGAGTTGCAGCTGAGTGGCATTAGGCAAGTTTACGTAACCTCTCTGTATGTACTGCAGGTCTATCTATCACCTATTCATATAGCTATCTGCCTGACTGTATTGCTGAGGGCGGGACATAATCATATGTGAAAGTCCTAGTGTGTAGTGGCCACACAACACGTTCTTTTTTCTCCAAGGGTCACTACAAACAGATTGTAGTAGGGTAGGAAAGCCACGGAAGGAATATGAAAATTGACAGGAGCAGGGGATCACCCTTTAATCACTGAGCCATTATCCTGTGCGCTGTGCCTTATGGGTGTACACCAACTCCAAATTCTTTCAGCAACTCTTTGGTATTAGATGCTGAGGGATTAAGTAATTCTCTCTCACTTTTTTCTACGTGTGTTCAGAGGTGTGCACCCCCATTGCCATCTCCTCCCCTAACTCTCCAGGCCAGAGAGAAGCCCTAGGGAAGCATTTGCTGGTGTCCACAATGTCAATACTCCCACTATAACTAATTCCAAGCTACCAATGGGTATTCCTGGAAAATTTAACAATGGGCTCTCTCACCAGCGTTTTGAACTGGCTCTCGACACCCACCCACGGCCTGTCTTAATTCTCCTTCACTCACTGTGCTTCAGCTTCACTCTTTTGTTCTTTTTTTTTCTTTTGAGACAGAGTCTCACTTTGTCACCCTCAGTAGAGTACCATGGCATCACCACAACACTCGGCTATTTTCTTTTGTTGTTGTTGTGGTAGTTATCGTTGTTTGGCAGGCCCCAGCTGGCTTTGAACCCACCGGCCCTAGTGTATGTGGCCGGCGCCCTAACCACTGAGCTAAAGGCACCAAGCCAATTCTTTTGCTATTTTGAACACATAAGCTTTTTCTTGGCCTCACAGAATAAATAACCAACCAACAACCATTGCTCCTGCAATGTGCCCAGCCCTGTGCTGAGTCCCAGGGACAAGTTTAAGACTATGAAATAGACCCCAGTTTTTGGTTCCTTAGATCTGGGATAGTTGGCAGTCCTAAGATGAATGAGTGCTGACGCTAAACTCACAAAGGGCACGGAAGCCAAGCTGGGGCTTCGCTAATAGTGCCCCAGACAAAATAGTTCATATCTAAAGTGACAGTGCTTTATCCAGGCAATTTAAAACTATTTTTTTTTTTGAGACAGAGTCTCACTTTGTCACTGTTGGTAGAGTGCTGTGGTGTCACAGCTCACAGCAACCTCAAACTCCTGGGATTAAGCAATTCTCTTGCCTCAGCCTCCCAAGTAGCTGGACTACAGGTGCCCACCACAATACCAGGCTATTTTTAGGGACAAGATCTTGCTCTGGCTCAAGCTGGTCTTGAATCTGTGTGCTCGGGCCTCAGCCTTCCAAGTGCTGGGATTAGAGGTGTGAGCCACTGGGCTTGGCCCAAAATGATTTTTTTTTTTTTTTTTGAGATAGGGTCACCCTGGTTAGAGTGCAGTGGCATCATCATAGCTCACTGCAACCTCAAACTCCTGGGTTCTAGCAATCTCCTTGTCTCAGACTCCCAAGTAGCCAGGACTACAGGTGCCCACCACAAGGCCCAGACAGTTTTTCTATTTTTAGTAGATGGGGTCCTGCTCTTGCTCAGGCTGGTCTCAAACTCCTGAGCCCAAGGGATCCTCCTGACTCAGCCTTCCAGAGGGGTAGGATTACTGACATAAGCCACCATGCCCTGCCATCCTAAAACTATTTTTATATTCATCATTTCCTCTATCTCACTGTTTGCTTACAGGCAGGGAAAAGACAATTAATTCAATTTTTCTATAGAAATAGACATCCAACAATTCTATGTCAAGGAGCAGAGGAAGAGTCAAAATGCTATCTTAAAGGCTAGCATGCTTTTATCATCATAACAAGGAAGGTAAGTGGTGGTCATTTGGCCAAATGTTCAGAGTTCCAATCCCACCTCTGCCACATTGAACAGATACTTGACCTCTGGCTGCGTCAGCATCTTTATTTGTGAAGTGGCTAATATGATAGTACCTACTTGATAACCTTGTCAAGGAATTAAATGAGTTACATGTGTTATAAGCTAAGAACAGCACCAGGGTATAGTAAGTACTCAATAAATTTGAGTTATTATTATTTGTGCAGTGCTTGGTGGTTTATGGAGCACAGACATTATTATCTCTTGGCTAGGATCCAAATCACTTGACTCTCAGCCCAGGCATTTGGAAAATAGTCAGAATATTGGGTAAGGTACAGCATGCTTTACTGAACACGCCCAAGGAGGCTAGTCTACTGGGGAATGGTGTTTCCGGGCCAGTCCTGTCTTTTTGCTCCATGCCCTGGAAAAGCATTCGGCCAGGTCTCCAGGACACCCCTCTCTGCTCTAGAAGAAGCTCCCATCTAGCAGGCATAAGCTTTCTTTCATAGGGCAGGAGGCAGAATCATGCTCAGTGGTGCTTAAGCTGGAGCTGTCTTATCTCCTTACTTCCAAACAGCATTGGATATTCTTTAGAAAGCCAATTTCAGGCTTAGGGAATTATGCTGTATCATTTCCCCTGGTTAAACCTTCAGATGTCTTATAAAGCAACATTAAAAGCTACTCTGTAAGTGCTAGTCACCATCTTCCCCCCACCCCCCACTCAAAGCAGGGAAAGGGTAGGGGCCGACATTTCAGAAGTGCCCAGGGTGTGTAAGGCTAGGTTACCAGGATCAGATCCCCACAAACCAGGAAATGGGGCTGTAGAGGGGAGGAGTAACTTCTCCAAGACAGGGGGCAGATAAAAAGCTCCCACCAGCTCCTAATCTTCCTTAACTTCTCTGAGCTGAGTTTTCTCATTTATAAGACGAGGATAATGATCATACACATCCCACAGGGTCATTGTAAAAATTCAGTGAGTTAATCCATTCATTATACTTAGCGCAGTGACTGGCACATACAATAGTTCAATACATGCAAGGTTTTGTTATCATTATCGCCGAAAGAGAGAAACAGCTAGGGTTCACTCTGTGCCTCCTCCATTAGGCCACGTGGGGCCCTTGTCTCTCACTGAGGACAATGACTTTGTGTGCAAATGAGACAGAGCTTTGACATCCTCCAGCCGCACAGTGTGGGGCACAGATAGGACTTCTACCTTCTCTGCCGGGGGAGTTGTTTTGTCCAACTTCGGATGCAATTCACTTATCATTACTGTGCAGTGGTGAGTCAGTCTTTCTTTGAATCCTGTTATTGAGAGGATCCTCACTCCCTCATGAAAATCAGCCTGCTGCATTTCAAACACCTTTTACAATCAATCAGGAAGCGTTCTTTCTCTGTTCCTTCTCCCTCTCCTCTCCTAGCCCTTCCTTCCTCCTTTCTTTTTCCCTTCCCTCTTCTCCTTTCCTCCCCCGCCCCTCCCTTCCCAGTTCCTTGCTTTTCCCCCTGAGGACACTGTCCAGTCGCCCACCAGTCAAGACACCTGGGTAGGGCTTCAGTGTCGTCACCTGGTGGGCTGATGGGAACTCAGCTCCCAGTAGTCCTAACAACACTCTAGGCTTTGCAGAATCTTTCAGAAGCAAAACCTTTTACCTGGGCCTTATGGTTTGGCCTTCTGTTCCATTAATGCCATTCACCGGTTTACTTGATTTCCATTATTAACCCCCTGTTCAACCACACGAAAACTTGAAATGAGCTGATCTGGCGTCTTGACAGAAAGCTGGGGTGACATGTAAGACAAGGAGAGGGCTGGGGCATTGGGGAAGCCGAAGCACACAGACTGCCTCCACGGATTGAGATCTTCGGCCCAGAGCAGCCTGACTACCGCTCGCGCCCGTCCGCGAGCAGCCCGGGGCAGCCGCTGCCTCTTTAAGAGAGGGGCGGGGCCCTGGTAATGGCAAGGCAGGGCCAGCCCACAAGGCTGCTTTTCCTTTTTGATCCATTCAAAAATTACTCATTGCAAATTCCCGGACTGCTAGAAGCCGAGAAGGAGGGGGGCGGAGGAGCGAGGGCTACTGCGGGCGCAGTGCTGGGGACAGCCGGGGCCAGAGTGGCCGACGGCCCGTCCCGCAGAAGCTGCTCGCCGGCGCTGTGGCTCCGGTGGCCTCACCAGGAAGCGTCAGAGTCTCGACACTGGGGAAGCTCGCAGCGCCGCCTCCGCCGCCGCCTCCCGCCTGGCGCTCGGTCCCCGGGCCCCCTCCCCTGCCCCAGTCCGACTCCCTCCTCCTCCTCGGACGATCGGGCTTGGGCGCCTTCCTTAGCGATGGCTGGCCGCTGAGCCATGGCTCAGTACGGCAACCCCAGCCCGCTCGGCATGGCTGCGAGAGAGGAGCTGTACAGCAAAGTCACCCCCCGGAGGAACCGCCAGCAGCGCCCCGGCACCATCAAGCATGGATCGGCCCTGGACGTGCTTCTCTCCATGGGGTTCCCCAGAGCCCGCGCGTAAGTGTCCCGGCTTGCAGCCCCGGCGACCCCTCCCGCCCTGCGCCGCCGGCCTTCGGCTTCGCTCCGGCTCGCCTCCCGTCTCCTGCCTCACGGGCGGCGCGCTCCCCGCTGCCCACGACCTGTTGGGGGCGGGATGGGCGCGCTAGCAGCCCGGGACTCGTCTCCGGGCGAGTGTGCAGGAGAAGACGCGGCGCGGGAGAGCTGGACTGGTGGTTTGCCTCGGGACATGCCTAAAGCTGGGGGCTAGAGCATTAGATTCGAGTCCCGGGTACCCTGCCCGGCTCCAGGATCCGGCGGGTGGAGCTAAACTGTTCCCTCGCGCTCTCTGCTAGGGCTCCAGCGCCGAGCCCCTGGGGAGGCGGGGCCGTACAGAGGACTCCGGAACCCTCTCCATCCCGAACGCAGGACTGGCTTGGGATCTTCTAGGGGTTGGAAAACGGCAAGGGACTGAGGGGCAGGGAGGCCGGCGCCCAGTGCAGCGGCTTCCAGCTCCGGAGGTCTCTCTCTGGACTAGGAGGAGCGCGGGCGTGGGTGTTGCTGCGTGTTCACTGATAGGAAGATGGAACCAGAAGGGGAAACGATCCTTCCAGGGGACCTGGGTTCTCATCAGTGGTGATGGCAGCGCAGAAATCTGTGGGTGCCCGGGAGTACGGAGGAGGAGCTGTCCTCCATCCTTCCTCTCGGAGAGTGGGATAGGGAAGGGCAGCGAGAGCGCAGGTGGCTGCCCCTGCAGCCTGCCTGGGAGAGGCCTGGTTGCCAGCACTGGGCAGCAGCGGTAGGAGTCTTCTTAAGCTGATCAACTCAAGTCTGAGGGGCTGGAACCGTGCCTAAGGGGACGTCAAGGCCAGTGCCCAGGCCCTTCTCCCTTGTTAATCTCTGGCTGCAGATTTCTTAGGTGGGGACACCAGACCTGAGAGCCTTTGGGGCGCAGCTTCTTTACCCCTTTGAATTACATCACCTGAATAGGAAAGTTGGGCAAACTTTATCAGGAAGGGCCAAGTAAATAAGAGCTCTTTTATTTCCTCCCCAACTTTCCAGGTGATAACTTTAGGTCTCCCTTCTCCTGCCGCAGGGCAAACCTTGGGTATTCTTTACTAACTTGGTTGATCAGAGCAGACCTTGAATTTATCGTTATCTTGCCGAGACAGGTGGGAACAACCTTGGAAAGCTGTAAAATGGACTGAGGTTTGTGCCTTCTGGTGACCTCGGAAGACTAGGGCTCCAGTTCCTGATACCAGAGTATCAGGGAGAAGTTCTTAGCTCCGCAAAGGTGTATGAAGTGTGGATGCTGCAAGTTAGGGCCTTGTGTGGATGATCAACATGCAGTGCTCTCCTTAAAAACTGGAGGTAGGAGCCAGGAAGTCAGCTGGGAAATGATGCAGAATTAGCATAGTCCCAGGCAACTGCCTTTTCTGAAATGAGGCCAACATGAAAGACCTAAATTGCTTAATTAAGGGAAGAAATACTTAACTCCTCAGACTATCAAATTTGCTGCTCAAACTGGCTTTAAGGGGACATCGTTACATTGCAAAGAGTCTAGGAGGCCTTGTCTGTGTCCTGACAGATTAGTATGTCAGTCTAATTTTGGCTTGCTAAACCCTGACATCTCATATTAGCTAGCATGGATTGGTGAAATATGTGTGTATATATATCTTCTTTTAAAGACAGATAGTTAGAACAAAAACTATATATTGTTCTAAGTACCTTATCTCTATTACCTATTTTATCCTCCCAGTAACTCAATGAAGAAGGTACTACAGGCCCATTTTATAAATTGGAAAACTGAGGTTTAGGAAGGTTCCATAACTTACTTAAAGTCACAACAGTAAGCTAAGATTCTAACTGAGGCACTGTGTCTGTATAGCCCAGGCCTCCCATCACCTAGGCCCAGGATGGAAATGATTTAATGTGGGTAAAATGCTTAGAACAGTTGCTGGCACATAGTGGGCAATCATTAAGTATTAGCTTCTATATTACTTTCCTGTGGCTGCTGTAACAAATGACCACAAACTGGATGGCTTAAAACAATAGAAATTTACGCTTACAACTCTAGAGACCAGAAGTCCCAAACCAGCATCACTGGGCCTGGAATCAAGGTGGTAACAGGCTGCTGCTCCCTTCTATAGGTTTTTGGGAGAATCTGTTCACTGTCTCTTCCAGCTTCCAGTGGGGGCCAGTATTCTTTGACTTGTGATTGTTATCATTTTCTTCTCTGCCTGGTCATGTTCTCTTTCCCTCTCTGTGTGGAATGTCCATTCACATGTCTCTTGTAAGGATACATATGATCATACATACATGTGTTGGGAAGAATGTAACATTACTCCCCATCTCAAGGCCCCTACTTTAATCATATCTGCAAAGTCTTTTTGTTTGTTTGTTTTCTTGCTAAGGTAGCATTCATAGGTTCTAGGGATAAGAACATGGATATCCCTTGGGGAATCATTATTTAGCCTATTGCAGGTACTATTATTATTATCATTATTATTATTACTAGTACAACCTCTCTTTACCAAGTTGGTAACAAAGAGCAGGCCTGGAGGGAGGGAGCTTGGGTGTGCTGCTCTGCCTTTTTAAACTCTCTGCCTTGAAAGGGGCAGAGACCTTAGAGGTTGCCTGATCTAGTTGTAATCCCTGGCCTGCTGTGCTTCCCTCTCCTACCTCAACCCAGACAGGCTGCTGTGCTTGGCCTTTCCTTTAATAACAGGCCAGTCAGAAGAGGGGCCATCAGAGATTTGAGAGAGCAGGATTTTAACTTCATCTTGGAGAGCTGAGAAGAAAGAGAGCCAGGGCATCAGGCTTAGTTTATGAGAAGCCTCTTTCTTGTGCCTTAGCCTGGAGGGTGGATCATAATTAAAATCCAAAGGAGGAAAGAGCAACCATGGTCTCTTGGGTTCACCCTTAGATGTGGTGCCTCAAGAGGGGATGCGACAGTTGTTTCAAATGTGGCCCTTTCAAAGACTGACAGTAGCTAGGGCTGTCAGCTCTGATTTCCCCTATGGGTTTAACTGGATCTGTTTTAGTCTGCAGCAAGAAGGGATACTTCAGCTGGGCTCTGGATAGGCCAGTAGAGTGGGCCAAGGCCAGCAAGGCAGGTCCCATTCCAACCCCTGCTGTGCTGTGCTCTGGTCTCGGAAGTCACTTACCCTCTACAGAGCCTTGCTGGGGAAACATCATTAATAACTGCATGCTTGTTAGGTAACAGCTAAGAGGAGGAGGGGCTGCAATGGCTCAAGAAGGGTGCTCTCAGGGTGTGCCCTCTCCAGCTCCTTTCTCCCCGCAGGCTAGGCTAGGTTTTTTCCATCCCACTATATGAACTTCAGTCCACCTTAGACACTGCCATAGGAGAACCTGCCACATGGGTGGAGAAGTGGCGATTTCAACGTTGTGTGTGTGCACGTGCAAATACAAGGAAAAAGAGGTGTTAGGGAGGCATCAGGAAGGAAACTTTCAAGGGGCCAAAATGGCCTATCCCTTCCTTTTTCTTTCTATGTCTACTTACACTTCTCTGTTCCAAAAGTTCTAAAAATAAAGGTCTAACTTCCTCTAGGCAAGTTAGGTCGGCCAGAGGGAAAATAAAGAGTGTGTGTCAAGCAAAGGCCTGGGGAAGAAGAGGCCTCAGAGGCCGGGGGAGGCTGAGCCTAACACTGGAGAAGGCAGGCCAGGGCTCTGATAAGAGCTGTCACTTTGCACAACCTGACTTGCACTCTGCGGTCTCTGGGGAGAGAGCCTCTCATCTCTTCTGCAACTTGGGGCCAACTCTGGGGCTTGGAGCAAGCTGACGAATAATTGAATCTGAAGAGTCTTTGTTGATACAACCCTGACCCCCACCCCATTTTTTTTTTTAATTTTTAAATTTAAAAGCTACCTATGGATTTTTTTTTTTTAATTTTTAAATTTAAAAGCTACCTATGGCTGGAACTTTCTTTGTCTATAGCAAATGGCTTTTAGTGTTTCCTAACAGTTGAGACAGGATAATCTTGGGAAGGACACTGCATCAGTGGTCAGAGGTCCTGAGCACTGGGCCAGCTTCTGATTAATATATGAAGTTTTTGCAGCTTTCATTTAACCCTTTCCCCTCAATATTCTGACCAGCTTCTGTACATGGCAGTATCTGTTGAGTCATAGGGCTTTGTGAAGATAAGATGAGATAATGGACAGGGAAGGACTTGGGAAAGTTAAAAATAGAATCTGGACACAAGATGGTGTTATGGCATTGTTGTGTTGGGTTGGAAGAACAGAGAGGAGGGGAGATGGTGGTCGAGGAGTCTGGCAAGCAATTACATGTACTGTTGAAATACATGTACTTTGTTTCTACTGAGAATATTTGAACACTACCTAGTTAAAGATCAGGACAGTGGCAGAAGGAGAGAGCTGGAATGAGCGCCTTCCACTTGGCTTTAGACCGTCAGCTGTGTTAGCTGTGCTTCACTGCCCAAAGATAAAAGCAGCTCGAAGTTGGCTGCACCAGGAGTTGGGAAGCATCATTTGGAGCCCATGAATTAAAGGATCTGGTTTCTCTGCCTTTCTCCAGCTTACCTGTTAGTTGACATTGGATCCTCTGAAAGCACTTGGCCAACTCAGCATCTCTGAAATGTAACTGACTCCAGGGCAGGGGCTGCAGGGGCCTTGGATTGAAAAGAGAAGCAAAACCAGAGCCTACCTTGCAGCTAACAGGCTCTCATATGTGGGCAGGACAAGGAAGTCTCTATTCTACCTGCCATGACCACACACCCACGCAACGTTGTACATTTGCATGTTATTGCAGAGTTTAAAATTGCTATCACATGCATTAAATACCCCACAGCAGTCCCCACGATGTGTGTCTTCTTTTGAAGATGAGGAAACTTGAGGCTCAGGAAGTTCAGGGACCTGCTCAAGGTTGGTCACACAGTTGGTGCACTGGGGTTCTGTTGCCATAACAGCCTCAGGCCAAGAAAGCCAGTCTAGTAAACTTTCTAGGCTAATAAGAAAGCCTTGACGTGTTTTATGTTTGAACT